GAGTGGATCATTAAGCAATTTACATACAGAATTCCCTCCCTCCTCCCCCCCATATCCTTGCAGTGTCTTCCTGACCCTAATTGGGGCACAGGGTAGTGATGGAGGTGGTCTGCTAGGTCCCTGCAGAGGTCTCTCTGGCCTTGGCCCCATCTCTCCCACCGTCCCCCACTCTAGATATTACTTTACTTCCCTAAGCTGAAATCACAGTCCCTGCAACTTCCCCCTTCCTGGCCCCTGACGTCGGGGGGGGGGAAGGGAAGAGGGGGACGGGGGAGGTTGCATACAGTCATTACACATAATATGTTCCTGAAGAAAGACTCTTTCATGCTATCTTGGGAGAGGGTACTGGGAACTCAGGTTTGATTTAGGTATCTGGAAGGACACAAGGGTTACTGTAAGTTTTGCTTGATTTCTTCAGCTGTTCTGAGTACATGGTCTAAGATTTTACTCTTTGAGATATCTCTCTGGAGAGCATGGCAAAAATTTCAGATAAGCACTGAGAGAAATTGATCTAAAAGGTGCATTGTTAGATATCTTGCGGTCTTGACTGAAATTAGTACTGATATTTGTCTTCTAAAAAAACCAGTTAGATACTTCCTCCCTTAATACCACAGAAATATATTTTGAGCCTACTATGAAACAGGTAGGAGGATATCTGAGGACAGCAAATCTGTGGCAAGGACTCATGGGTCTTTTTTCACAGACCTGCTCACAAGAACAAGCATTGCATGAACTGTCCTCAGAATTCATGACTTGGCTGAAAAGACAGGGTATATCTGGATATGTATATATTACCTATTAATATACTGTGCTTATAAAATAAGCTGAGCTGTAGCCTACTTTTATAGACTTTTTTAAGAAAAGCAACTTAGGACAGGTAATTCTCTGTATTAGTGTTTGCAACAGTTATGTCTAAAGGGAAATTTCTTATTCATATAGAAAGAGGTTCCAGTCAGAATGTTTAAATTGGGTAAAGAACAAATTGCTATGGTATATTTTATTTTAAAAGATTCTTAAATATAATTTAAAAATGCCAAATGGGAAGCTGCTGCAATGTCAGTCTGCTGTTATGGATTAGCATTCAGGAGCCTGCATTGTTAACCCCAGACCTTCCCTCCAAGAGTACAAGTTAACTGTCACTAACTTCACTGATACAAGTGTATGAGATGGATTTTCCAAATGATTGTTAAGTGATCTGTTGCTTCTTTAGATTGATGTAAACAGCAGTAATCTTTTAAGTGAACCACAAATATGTTACAATAGCTTTGAAAGATGTCTACCTTTCCCATCCTTTCCTACAGAAACTATTTTTCCTGCTTCCCAATTTATGCCCTGAGAAGAAAGTTGCTCAAGTATGTCAAAGGCCTGATAATCAAATGATCTGTGTTCTGTTCCTGCCTCTACAACAGATATTCTGTGTAACCTTAGCCAACTGTTAACATATGCTGTAGTGCCTCAGCTTATCCACCTTTAATATGGGATCATTATGCCTAGTTCACAAGAATATGATGGTGGTTGACCACCTGATGCTCTGCTGGCCTGCAAGGGTTTAACACCCAGCCTGTGGATTGTGCCCAGCTGCCACTCCAACCACCATTCCTACTGCTGCCGCTGGGGTCTCTGGGTTCCCCCTCCTTCTTCCATCTTCCATTTCCTGGCCCTGCCCCTGGGGGCAGGACAGGGTGACCCGTGGGAGCCCAGGGGGCTGCAGTCTGTGTGACAGGGGTGAGGGAGATGGAGTGTGGGAGGCACACACAGCGTGTAGCCCCCAGCCGCTCAGAGGTTGGACAACTTTGCTTTTAAAAGATGCCGTAGAACTACTAAGCATTAGTATTATTGTCCATAAAACCACTAATCACTAATATTATTGTGAGACGACATTCTGCTGGGAAACACCAGTATATCAGTAGCTTCTTCTGTAAGTGATGTCTGTTCTTTTCATAGATCTGGAGATAATGAAGCTGGAGCCAGCATTTGTAAAAGGATCCTGCACATACTACTTTCATGCTATATTCATTTTGGTTGTGCATATTTCTGTGTAAGGCTGTTTTTGGTCTCTTCTAACTTCTCAGCTCAGACCAGGTATTGCAAATTCGAGCCCTAAAGGTTTTGTTTGGGGTTTGTTTGGTTGGAAAGTCAGAAGTGATTAAATTTTGCCTCAGCCTTAATGACAGCTTTAGTAGAGCAGTGGTAAAAGGACATGATTTTCCAGCCTTTATCTTCTCAGCCATTAGGGTTTCCAACCAACCTCATACAGTAGTCCTGGACAGGCTACAGAGTGGATCAGGGCTACAGTTAAAGCCTGTACAATCTGTGCCATGAGCTCCATGGTACGCTGGCTTCATCACAGCCTGGGTGATCTCACAGGGCTCAGCTGTACCCAGAGAAGTAGCAGAGAAATGTAATGAACAAGAACTATCGTAGCAAGTGAAGAGAGATGTTTGTTTCATGGACCATTCAGCCTCTGAAGGACAATAAGAATTTTACGTGCCACCCCTTCTTCGCCCCCAAGCAGATGCCTCATGCCAAGGCGGGCGTCCCACATCAGGCAGATGAATAGCAGGTCTGTTCCCAGCAGCTGTACTCTCCCATCCAGAGAAAGCATTAAAGACTCCCTGGGACTGCAGAGTCCAGAGCTACTGTGCAGTTTGCAGAGAGCCCAGGAAGACACCTTTTGAGCAAAAGGATGGCATCAGAAGGGGAAATCATCAACCTTCAAGTAAGTCCCTCTTGGGGAAAATACCAAAGGGAAGGGGAAGTGGGAGGGAAGAGGGGGGGCAATGCCAACCACTCCTGTCACTCACTTCTGTTCATTTTAAAACCTCACCGATGAAAGTTTCTCCTGTGAAGAAAATCTAATTTGCAGTGTGGGGAGTGGACCCTGTAATCAACAGGCTTATTAGCTGCCTATTGTGGAAGGGGGGGAAGAGGGTTGGAAGATCATACTAGCGGGAACTACTTCTGTGGGGAGAGTGAAATAGCAGGGGCAGTCAATGTCCAAGTCTGAGAAGGAGGCAGTGCGTATTTAACAAGCTGAAAAAGTTTGAGCCGCTCCCCATCTCACAAAGCCCTTCTGTGTTTGAGAGAAAGTGCTCCCAATCTTGGGAGGAGGAAGAGAAATAAATACAGCAAACAGTGAGAGAGAGTGAGAGTGCCAGGATTTCCTACAAGGAGTTTGCAGAGAAACAACACTTCTTGATAAAGCTCTTTCAGTCCTCTGTGTTCCTTTCTTAGTGTTTATGTTTTTAAGGAGCGTGTTTCTTAAGGCTTGGTATGTGGTCTAGGAAAGGGCAACTACTCAAGGGTTTGGGAAGAGAAAGCATTAGAAATGGAATGAAATCAAAACCCCAGATTAGAAATGCCGAATTTAAGGAAGTCCAGATTCAGATCTTCTCTTTGCAGGTGGCCTTTTTTTTAGGACTGGTCAAAGCATAGCCCCTAGCCCCTTTCAGACATAGGGAAGTTGGAACTGGGATCCATATTTTTCAGCTGGCCTCCATCTTTTTGATAATGGCCTGAAACAAATCCTCAGAGTTGACTGTAGCCAGTCTTGGGGAAGTTTATTTCTGGGTCCAGATTTTTCTTCTTTGACTCACCTTTGCAATGCAAAGCTTCTGGTTATTGAAATCAATGGAGCTGTAATAAAGAGCACTAATTCTCACTATTCCAAAGTCTGGTAACAAGAAGTGGGGACTAGGAACCCTGACTCTGCAGAGCACAGAAGGAATGACTGAGGCTGTGTCCTGATGCAGGCAGAGTCACAGGGTCACACTGGTGTGCCTATACATGTGCTCCAATGTGTTCTAATTAGAATGTGTCGGAGCAGACTCGATTAATCAAGTCTACTACGTGTTCTAATTGGAACACCCTAGCATCACTTCAGCGTCATGTGTATAAGCCCCCGCAGGTTTAAAAAAGGCCACTGGGACTCTTTAACTAAAGCTCATTGAATGAACTTAAAGGCACAGAAAGAAGTAACAACTTTTGCCCAGTCTGGCCACAGAAAATAGTCTATAGCTATGACCAAACACAAGTGCATGGATGAAGACTGGTTCAAAAATGGCTGATCGGGTGAAAATCATTGCCTGAGGCTTCGGATGAAGATGTTTTAGAACATAGCATCTTCTGTAATTTGTGTCTGCCTGCCAGCCTCTGAGCTGTTTTTAGAATGGGAGGGGGTAAAGGGAGCAGAGGGAATTCAGTTGGGTTTTTTCAGCCCCTGCTAGGGCTCCAATCCACCCACCCCAACCTCCAGGGCCTGGGGGGAAAGAGGAGACTCTAATCCACCCACCCCAACCTCCAGCGCCAGCTGGGGAACCTCAAGAACAAGCTCCCTCTGCTCCTTTTCTCCCTTCCCATTCTGAAAACAGGGGCAGGGCCTGGAACACCTAACCTCAGAAAATAAATGAGCAAAGAAAGGAGCATGCAAGGTAGCTCTGGCAGCTGCTGCAACTGGATGCTCCTAGGGAGGTCTGATTCCAGCAGAAAAGACAGGAGCAGCATTTTCTGAAATCAAGAAAAATGGGGTGAAGATGTTCCTGTAAACCATGCTGGGAAAACACAGACAAGAAGTATAAACCAGAGACGATCTCAGTTCAAAGCCCTGCTTCATTAAACAATTCTGAGCTTCAGATACTTGTGGATCCAGAGTAACTCTGTGTTCAGATTTGAATTTTGCTCCTTCTGTAGCGGGAATGAAAGGGCAATTAAGGCAGCTTTCTGTCCAAGTGGTGGTGTGGGAGTGATGGATGACAGGGATTATTTGGGTTAGAAAAATTAAAATTAACATGTTTATTTCTGAACCAAGTAAAATACAGTGTGTTGCTAGCCAGGTCTCTGCAAACACCCACAAGAGAGACAGTTTGCCTGAAATTGTCTTAATGGCACCTCGAGGGGACGTTAGCAAAACTAGAATTTACAAAATATAGACAAATATTCATATGGTCCTGCAGGGGTGGATCCAGGTGGATGCAGTGGTACAGTCGCACCCCTCCTTTGATTCCTGGTGCATCCAAAGTTTAAAACAAACTGCCTGGCAGTGGCAACAAGATTTCTATTCAGGTGGCACTGAGTCAGACACTTGACTCATGGTTTATTGTAATCTACCTGATTCTTCTAAACTCTTCATTGCACAGGGGTTAATCAGCCTCTCTACTTTTTTAATGGTCTTACCATAATCAAGCTATTCTTTCTTCTGCAATTCAGCTGTCTTGTAGCTGCTCCTAGTAATGTAGCTCCTACTTCACAGCCCTTCAGACTGTTTTTAACTTGAGTTAAAAACTTAACACAGGTGTAGAAACATTAACTCGGGTAAACATTAACTCAGGTGTGGAAATAACTTCTGGTGAAGTATTGGATGCCCTGTCAAAATGCTCAAAAAAGGCTTGATCTTATTTTGTGTATCTGAAAGAGATGTACATTTAATTCTAATGACAGTTTTGTGTATTTTACCTAGTTTATTGTGCTTTTAATACAAAATGTATGATATAGCAAATTAGTGAACATTCCAATAAAGTTATATTTATTTTTGCTTCAATCTTAAATTAAATAATATAGCCCTAGGCCTCTAACACATTAGTGAAGCTTCTAGTTCCTCTTTACCTGGAGCAAAATACGTGTTGTGTTATATGTGATGATGCACCATACCTTTCTTCAAAATCCTAGATCTGCCCATGGGATCCTGCATGATTTTTACCAGGGTGTGCCCTGAATGGTACCAGCAATAGAAAGAAAGTGTTACAGATTATGCAGCTGAGGCAAAAGAGGGTCTTCAGGGGGAAACAGCCATAGAACAAGACAAAAGAGGAAAAAAGAAGAGCAAGGGGAGGTTAGCAAATGTGCTCTTTAATTTAAGGAACTTTTCAAAGAACCTTTGGTTCTCTCTGTGTGCTGGCTGCTCCTGCCTGGTTTACAAAGTATAGGTGCCTATCCTGCAGCTTCAAAATCTTCTGCTGATGTGGACACTCCACAGTCTGGGGAACTCCAGGGATCCTTCTGCTGAGTGAATCCTCTACCTGAAAAGAACTGCTGCATGCCATTAGGGTGGCTACCAGGAATGTTGAGGCACATTTTAGTGCTTTAAATGTCTCCATTTTGCAAGTGTTGTGTGCGCAAATATCTACCTCCTCCCTGATAGGATTTTCATATTACATTTCACTGTGTTTCAAGACTACCTCTGACAAGAGAATTAAAAAAAATATGATCCTCAAGTCTGTACTGAAGGAGAATTAGAAGAGGTATTTAAAATATACAAAGAGTCTAATAAGGAGAGATTGGTCCCCTGTCTTTTAAGCTTGTCCCAAAACATGAGAACAAGGGCTCACTTAATGAAGTTAAAAGAACAAATAAAAGGAAATGTGTCTTCACTCAGCATGTACACAGGCTATGGAATTCACTTTCCCCTGGAGAAGATCATAGAGTCAAATATTATAGCTGGCATTAAACAGGAGTCCGGATAATGTTATAACCAGCACTAATGTTTACAGTTACACAAGCCAAGAGAGGAACTTTCAAATCCCCCGTGCATCAGTTGACCAGTGGTGTAGGGGAATGAGGAAGATTGTGTCCTCTGGCCCAAAAAGTGCTGTTGAATGGATCAGGTGCAGAAAATGGGTATCTGCCAAGTATCCCAACATAGGTGTGACAACTGCTTATCTAACAACAACTTATTTCCCACTCCCACTCCCCTGCCACCCCCCAAACCTCTGTCCAGTGTATTTCAGAGGAGTTTATTTTTCAATTTTCACTTTTAAGCACATGCATAAACAGGCTAGAACTCAGTCCCTTTTCCCCACCCCATACCACAGAAACTAGTTCCATCTTCCTCTATAAGGTATTTGCTATTGCCAGGAAACCAGACTAACTGGAGCACTGATCTGATTCAGTAAATTAAATTCTGTTCTGAGATAACTGGGGATATTCAGGGTGGAATTAAAACAGAACCCAAAACCCCAAAAGAACACATTCTGCCTCAAAACTGGCTTCTGATAATGAGGTAATGGATATGCTGGAAGAGGCAGGTTACATGAATTAGAGTGAACTAGAAATCACAGTTTCTATGAAAATCTATTCCAGTTCTGAATGGCTATTGAGTTGGATCTATCTGTACTGTTTTTGCTTTCATGAATATCTATGCGAATGGCTTTAGGTTCAAAAGATGTTCATGAATTAAATGTTATTCATATTCTTATGTGAACCAAGATATTTCTGAAGAAGGGTATCTGATGTTCATCATTTGTCATTTTTTAGCTTGCTGTTCTGCTTAGGAAGTTTGTCACTGAGAGAAGGAAGCAGAAATATTTGTAGGGGTGCATGGATAAAGATTTTTTTGGCCGATATCAATGGCCGATTATTAACTAGCCATATCGGCCTACACTGATCTGATAGCCAATATACAGCCTGGCAGCTTGGAGAGCAGCATCTGGCCGGTAAGTCTGTGTGGGGAAGGGCCGTGGGGGAGGGAAGGGGCATGGGGGAGTGCAGATTGAGGCCCCTGCGGTGAGGAAGGGAGTGGGGCTGGGGCAGGGGCAGGTGCATGACAGAGCCACGGGCGGCTCATCCAGGGGGCAGCCCCAGTGTCAGGAGCCACCCCCCATGCCCCCAGATGAACTGCCCACAGCTACACCCTGCACCCCACCCTGGCCCAGCTGGGCAGTGCCTGATGCCCTTGTCCCACTCCCTCCCTCACCATGGGGGTCTCAATCTCCCCCCCCATGCCCC